GAGGGAGGAGGCTCTGGTGTCTCCGAGCAGGATCCCCACAGGGTGCGGGTGCTGGGCAGAGCCAGCTAGCTGCTTTGCCCGCCAGAGGACTGCTCACTACGGGACTGACATGGACCAGGGGAAGTGTCTGACCAGCCTCACGCTGGCCATCTTTCTTCTTCAAGGTAAGAGCCCCTGGGGGTGCGGAACCCAGAGAAGGGGTCAAGGGAAGACTGCGTGGGAGCAACAGGCCTATGGCCACCCCTAACCTCCAGTTCAAAGGGATGGAGGCACTTAGGGTTCCCCGCTAGAGACAGTGAGAGCACTGGGCTTCTTGAGAGATCAGAACAGCACCCTGAAGTGGCAGGGAGCCTCTGCTGCCAGCATCCTAGGCTGGGACGCAACCCAGCGGGACCAGGCTAGGAGCCCGTGTGTTAGGAACGCGGGGGTAGAAGGAGCCCCACGAAGCAGTCCCTCACTCAACAGTGAGCTCACCAAACATTACTCGATCGAACGAAGGCTATCACGATGATTGAAAGGGTTCTCCCCCAAGGAGCTCACCGTCGGATGGGAGAGAGACAGTCAGCGTTACACGACTTGGGTCAGTATGTTCAGTTAGCTATGGGCCAGAGGAAGTGGGTGAGCTGGGCTGAAGCCTGCAGTCTGGACTAATTCTCCACACATGATGGAAAACAGCCGCTGCTTTGAGTTAATTCCGACTCAGCAATTCTATAGAGGGTTGTGGAGACGCTGAATCTTTGCAGGAAGCAGACAGCCCCATCTTTCTGCACACATTAGGGGCAGCCCAGACCATGAAAGCTGTTCAACTCACGCAAGTACTACATGCATGGTACATGCTGGGAAAAGGAGTGGAGGGTAGGACAGAACTGTGAGGACTTCGATCTATAAGGGTCAATTAGATTTTAAACAATTTTTTTCAAGATCTCAGGAAGGAGGTAAAGCAACAAAAAGCTAAAGAGTTAGAAGGATGAGGTGCGTACATTAAGGAGAAACTGAAGGAGAAAGAGTTTCCAGAAGGAGAGGTTAGTGACGAGTGCAAGAGAGTGCCAAGACTATAAAATGGTGCAGAAAGGTCCATTCACATAACAGTATATTTGAAAGTCGAAGCCTTTGGGATGTACGAGCTAAAGGTCATGGAAGACTTTGCTTCCGTAGGACAGTGTGGGTGGAAACTAAATAGGAAGGAGCGGAAGGGGAGAGCAGCAAGCGTGGACTCTTCTTTGTATGTTGGGTGTTTTTTTAAGATCGTTTTATCATGGGATCTTACAGCTCTTATAACAATCCATACCTCAATTGTATCAAGCATATTTGTACGTTGCCATCATCATTTTCTGAACATTTACTTTCTATTTGAGCCCTTGGTATCAGCTACTCTTTTTTCCCTCCCTCCCCCTTCCTTCCAC